ATATATATATATATATATATATATATATATATATATATATATATATATATATATATATATATATCAGTAGAATTATGTAAGAGAATCATATTAAAGGAAAACTAAATGGAAGAATAATAAGATCAATAATCATACTTTAAGGTTAAACAAAACAGTTGTTAAATGAGTATCAATATTCATCCTTTAGCCGATTAAGTTTAGCTAACCCCTGGCCTATAGTCGTTAAATCTTAAGTCAGCGACAAAGGTATGTATAGATCTATACGAGATTGACACCCCCGCCTCTAGTTGCTGGCTACAACCCTTGACGGTAAAGTCACAGCATGCATAGCTTTCTAAACTACATCACAACGTCCGATGAAGATTTGGGGTAGGGCAAATATCAAGTCAAAATCTTGATTATACAAACTCATTGTAACATTGTCCATCAACCTTAATTAATTAAACTACCTAGAGGGAACGCCTTGAAAGTAGTCATATTATGAAAAGATAAGAAAAAGGGATAATAATTTATAAAAGAAAGGTTATAAGATAAGTACAAAAGGAGTAATATATCCTAGGAAAACAAGATATAAAGAATAGAAATCTGTTAAAAAGAAACGACAAAACTATTGTAAAAGTATAAAACCATAAAAACATGTGAACTCACAAACATTATGTTGAACTTTTCAAAACCCTTGTATTCTCATGGAAATGAGTAGGAGAGGTAGTGGAGTGTTAAAGGAAATCATCACGTGGTTGATGGAAGTTTTATTTGTTCCTTTATTGTTTAGTCTATGATTAGGAAGTTTGCTTGGATATCAAAGAATATAACCCTTTATTAGTAATGAATAAAAGAAATGTTTGCATTATATTTCCGTGTATTGTTCAATATACCTGCCTCCATGATCCAACGTCCTAACATCGCACTGCTCGGCATTTTCGCCGTCGGTCGTGGGTGTGACATCCTACATAAATCTGATGTAGGAACTTATTATTGTTTGAAATTTGTTCCTCGGAAACAACACAAAAAACTTGATATACTCTATACAGTCTAATAAAATAAACCTATTTAATGTAGAAATCTAGTTTTAAATATATAAACCTAACAAATATAAAAATACTTTCCTCACTAGGTAGCGTACCTAATAACTAATAGTATAACTAAAGTAAGTACGTGTGTCGAACACAAGGAGAACACAAGTGTACCGATGGATAGGAATCAACATAATAATAAAATAAAATAAGATAATATGAATTATTATAAACTAAATAATATAAGAACTCAAGTATAAGTAAATAGATAGATATATAAATATATAGATAATAGTAGTTGTATTTTTTAATAGATTTCGATTCACTAATGATTATGTTTTATTCATAAGAAGTGCAATAAAAACTTATAGATATTCACCGATTTATAAATTAATTAAATCCAATCTATATTCATTAATTATATGTTTCTAAGTATCTACTAGCAGGGATAGCCTTCGTAGATCCATTCTATTAAGATCGTATTATGAAAGACTCAATTGGTATGATCAGTCATAGGGTTAATGGAAACTTCTCAAATTGCATAACTCAATAGTACAATCATGACGATTAAATCAATATTATTATGCTTAAATTAGGGATGTATCCACTAGATGGATCTGTCTACACCTCAATTGGTAAAGTTCTGATCTCCTACTTGTTAATGAAATTATTGATTCAAGTAACAAAATTCAAACCTAATCTTAGATCAAACAATCAGCTAAATAAACATAATAACACTGTTATTAACACACTTGGATCCTTAATGAAGTAATCATAGTAAATTGAACATCTACTAGAACTCTTTTAATGAATCAAAACATAATCATAATCAAATCATCTACATCTAAACAAAACTATTAGGACTTAGCCCATAATCTAAACTAAAAGCCTTACACAATACTCCAATCAGTCTTTCTGCTTCAGATCTTGATTTGTTCTATAAACTAGGGTTTCTAATAACCTCTTTCCCCATATTGGCCATTTCCAGTTTTTCTTCTAGAAATTATATGCATGTTCTATAGGATATATCCTATGGGAAAAATTACGATCCCATATATAGCCTTCCATATCCGACTTATTTTGTCGTGCGATTACATAAATCGTAGTGAAACTTCAATTTTTAGTAGTTTCTTTAGAATCTTCGATTTCTTTATAATATTCTTCATACAAATTTCAAATTGTTTTCCTTAGCTCTTAATCCAAGAAAATATGCTCTAATCTTTCCCTTTTAGCATCTACTTCATCACATGGTCATTTTTTGCTACAAAACATAAATATATAACTATTAAGTATATGTTGCCCATTTTTAACATTAAAAACATTCATAAAAGTATATGAAATGTCCTTCAAAATCTGTATAAATGAGGAGACATCAACATGATCATCAAGAAACTTGTGGTCAGGAGTGTACTTTATCGGTCGTGTGAAGTGCAATGTCCTTTCTGGTGACCTTGAATGTGTAAGTGGGTTGGTACCATACCCCATTAAAGAGCTTTATCAGTAATACTTTTTGATGCCAAAGTTAGGTTAAATGTTCGAATTATGATGTGAGTTGTGAGATGATATTGTCTTGTCGTTCTTTAGGTATATATTAAGAGTGCTTTCTAGGATGGGTTGTCCTTGTAGAGTGTGTGACCGGGAAGTACCGTGATTATCAGCTAGCTTTATTTTACTAGGTAAATTTGATGATCCTTTTTACTTTTATATTATTTATTTGAGATATTTGTCCTTAACAAATGTTGAGCCACTTTTTCTGGGAATGTGTCTTCGAGTAGTTAATATCGGCCTTTGTTCGAGAACTATGATTTTGTGTGATTTCTCGATAGTATCTTGCTATGTCATATATGGTTGTCTGGTTATCCAATTATCTAGGTGAAGGGTATATAATTTCCAGGTACACTATGTGGGGACCCATTAATAGACAATTTAAATTTAAGGGTTAAAAGAAAATAAAGAAGTGTGCGGTGCAAATGACAGAAAAATCTACATTATTTATAATCCTAATCGAAGATGTCCATATATGATTTAATGATATTTTTGTAAATTGGTAAAATTTTGTGATTTACTTATAAGCACCATAATAATATGGTAAGTTTATGATTATCCAAAAAAATTATTATGAGAGTTTTTTTTTCAATCCAAAGCTTTTTCAATTTAATTATAAATTTAAAAGCTTTCGTTAGAAGAGTTTTTGCGCAATATTTTGTTCATTTATATGTGTTTTTTATTATCAGATAAGTTTTGTGGAAACAACTTCATTATAGAGGAAATATTTATATATTCTTGTTTTCTTGATTCGATGCTTATATAGCACAAAAAACATATTCAAAAAATTTTCTTAGGTTGGGTGTTATATTTATCTTTCACCTTTCAACCTTTTTAGGTCACCTTCCAACTAGAACTAGTAAATATTGACACACTAGAGTCTGTGGGTTAGGTTCATCTGAGCTTGTGCTTAAGGAAAACCAACCGTATTATGTAAATGTCTATGATATATTTTTTTACGTTACACGTAGATCTAATAAGTATGTTAAGTTGCATGAAAATCCAACAAAGTAATCAATTGTCAAATTTGAGAATGTAGCATCAGTGAAAATATAGCGTCAAAATCATAATATCGTCAAAAATATAAATACATAACAAACGGTAGTATCAATACAATACACATAATAGACCTCGGATCTTCACTTATAAAACAAAAATCGACTTACAACTTTCTGTATACATACTTTACTAGGTATATTGTCATTTGATGGCAATTTAAAGAATACAAAGTCTCTAACCATTACATTTATTGACTAGTCATTCTTGTTTCTGTAAGATTAACTTCACGATCAAGATTTACAGATATAGCTTTTTCTTTTTCCTTCAAGTCATCAAGATAATGTTGATAGATATAAGAGACAAACCCCCAAATAGCTAACAACATGGAGACCGCCTTCACCCCATTCATCTTTTCATCAAAAAACACGACTGCCAAAATGGGCACAATTGGGATACCTAAAGTACTAATAACATTTGAAAAAAGAGATGAAACCTCAAAGATCAAGCCAATATAACCAACCGTGAAAACTTGCCATGAGACAGCTGTTCCTACAAGATTTATTATATACGAAGCCTGTCCAGACTCAAAATCCCACATTTCCTCCTTTATATCCTTCCATTCACCACTAGCAAATAGTCCCATGAGAATTACAAGAGTTGCTATCAAGCTTTGATACACGGTTATATCAAATACCACCTTATAGCTTGTAGATTTCAATATCTTTTGAAGTGCGAGTTGTGTTATTGAAAGCATCAAACCCCACCCTACACAATCAAAACATAATTTTTATATTGAACTGCATGTCACCACAATCAAGGTTGAAGCATGTGAGATTCGAACATGGGTCAACTCCATTTTGGATACTTAATTCCCAAGTCATTACCACAACTCACTATACCACCTTAATTAATGGTTAAATTCATGGTTATATATGCAAAATTTATTAAATATATAGTAACCAGGTTTTAACCTATTACAATCTAAATACATAATCTTTTCAATGAAAACTTTAAATAACTTTCATCTTTTTATCATTATTGTGAAATTGTGTATCTTTTTGTTTACATGTTAATGAAGATTCATATTTTTTATATGGTGATGATATGGCTTAAGTTGTTGCTATATAATGTGGACATATTGTGCAAGACTAATGAAAAACTTTCATTTCATAATTTTCATCTTTTTTGAGATTCATAAATTATTCTGATGTTTAAAATCTTGTGAAATGTTTCTAGTGATGTTAGTGATATTTTCCCTTAAAATTCTATCGTCTTCAAGTAGTTATTATTTTATAAAATTGTTTCAGTAAGTTTTTCACAACATATGTCCAAAATAAACAAGTTGAAGAAACGTCATTTCTACACCATTACTATAGGAAACAATATAATGAAAATTCATAAAAATGTAACCAAATATTATATAAAACTCCACAAGAATATAATTTGATAGGTTAAACTTTTTCTAAAATATGTCTATTGTTCAATTAACATCTCTTATTAATGGTTTAAGGAAGACGTTACCTGCAGAGGCAGCGATTGTGCATACAAAACCAATGATATACTTGCTTCTTGATATTTTCCCGGTCTCTTTAGAATCACTCTGAAACACAAGTAGCATAGACGAAAAACTAAGAAGAACAAGCGAATTAGCTATGAACGGAGTGAACTTCTGTCCATTAAGGAAGTATGAAAACAAGGCATTGAAAGCGAGTTGACTCGTACAGATCAACGAATACGTGGAAACTGGCAAAAAATTGAGTCCAAAAGAATACAACATACAATTTCCAGCCAAGAATATACCGAGAGTTGTATACAGAATCACAAGGGTAGTCCAAGAAGATTTTCCAGTGACTTGGTGGTGATGCTCCAATGGTGTTTTTGAAGGTGAAAATAAGAAGATAAAAGGTAACATAAGTGGAAATCCAACAGTTTGAACAAGTGTTGCCATCCATTTACTATTTCCACCATTGATGAAGTAAAGTCTTCCCAACATTGTTGCGGCTGATTGACCGGAGAGTACAAACATGGTGAACACTACTATCTGTATCCACCACTTGTACTGTATAAACCTTGAGGAACCTCTTCCACCATCTAATTGATTTTCTTGTGATGTATAAACTATAATGATTAAGTAGAAAGAGTTTAATTAGATGTAGAATCACAAAATGAAATATGTTCATGTAAATTTAACCATTAATGCAAGATCTACAAGGCCATTTGTAATTATATCTAATTGTTTCATAGATGTGTATCGCACCCAACATAGGAAAACTCTAGATTAACTCATACTTGAACTTCACAAACGAGGTTCAAGATAAACATTATCCTTACATTATAGTCCTTGAGTAGATTCTGATGTCTAGAGTATACGGTATATTTAGATGTTAATCTTTATTAATTTTCATGTTATTGTATGAGGAACATTTTATTATAATATTGTTTAATAATAAAAAGTTGATTACTTTTATCAATCATTTAAAATTCTTATTATTAATGTTTTTTCTTTCAACTACATCGTATTATATTTTCTAATTATAATATTTGAAATAAAGTAATAAAGTGGTAAGATTTTGATAATAATAATTATTTTTATAACTATATTTATTGTAATTTTATCATATTTAATATATTAAAATTATCATACATAATTAATGTTAATTATAACATAGATAGAGTAAATTATATAAATGGTCATTGTAGTTTAGGATAATATGTATGGTTAGTTCTTAACTTTTTTCAATCAAAAGCTAGCATAAAATGGTCATTGTTGTTAGGATAGTGTATATGGTTAGTTCTTAACCCTTTTTCACTCAGAAGCTCCTTATAGTATTTTTTTTGTTTGTTGCAATTTGGACTTCAGCTATATATGATAGGATTATTTTACCCTTATGATGTATTTTTACATTTTAATTATTTTGTTATTAATATATATATATATATATATATATATATATATATATATATACACACACACACCTTATCCGTTTCCTCTATTCTCCATAGTCAATAGACATGTCTCTTTCTCTCGATTATCTCTCTCTTCTTCACCCCATAATTTGTCGGTGTTTTTAGCCGCTAACGATTTCTATGGTCAACATATCCACTACTTTTGCAGATCAAGTCACGTCTCACCAACACCCTCACACCTGTCTCTCATATATATCTTGCATGAGAAGCTTACTGTCACCATACATTTAATGACTTAGATCTATTTTTAACACACTTACAATGGGGTAAAGTGATATCTTATGCATCGCGACAGTTGAAGCCCCATGAGTTGAACTATCAGACCCATGATTTACAGTTAGTACCTATCATTCAATCCTTAAAGATATGTAGGAATAATTTGTAAAAGACAAAATGCCAACTATACGTTCCTCAAAACATTTTACAATATCTACTTACCTAGAAAGAATTAAATATGAGGCAGGGATAGTGGATGTAACTACATAAATATTATGATTGTGAAATTACATATCATCCCAACAAGGATAACATAATGGTGGATGATTTGAGTAGAAAAGATATGAAGTAAAAGAGGCAGGTTAAGGCCCTAGGAATTGAAGTAATATCATCCATTGTTTAAGTGATGAAAGTGGCACAAGAAAATGCAAGAAAAAAATAAAAAACTTGAGGAAAGCAAAAATTAGGGAAAATTGAATTTTTTTAAAAGGAATCACATTAATTAAAAACATTAAGGGTCGGATATAGGTGGCTATTATTAGGGACATAAGAAAGATTCTACTTGATGAGGCGTATGAATCTGGATACTAAATACACCCCGACAACAAGAATGTAGACGGATTTGAAACCATATTACAAATGATCGACAATAAAATTTGACATTATGAAGTACAAAAGTTCTTATTTGACTTTCTCCTTAGTCAAAATCGAGAATCAATAGCTTTATTCTAATAAAGAACCACTTGAAGTGATGGAATGGAAATGGGAAAAATCACCATGGATTTTCTGACAAAACTTACAAAAACTAAGAAGGGATATGAAATGATTTGGGTGTTATGCACAGGTTAACCAAGAGTGTACTTCCCCTTCGAAAAGAGAAGCACGGCCCATGGAAACATTTGTGAAACTATATGTAAAAAAAGTAGCATAGAGACAAGGTGTACCTTTGTCCATTGTGTCAGACATAGATTGTCATTTCACTTTAAATTTTTGGAGGAGTATGCAAGAGGAGAAATATTTGTGTTTGAGTACTTCTTACCATCCTCAAACGAAAATTCAAAGTGAAGGAATAATTCAGAGTTTAGAGGATATGTTGAGATCTTGTTTGTTGGAAATTTAGGAAGTTGGGCTAAGCGTGTCCTATTGATTGAATTCTCTTACAACAACAACAACTAGAAGTCAATGATTAACATGCGACTGTATGAAGCTTTATATGGATGTAAGTGTATATTTCCAACTTCTTTGTTACAAGCTTGCGAGAAAGTATTGATGGGGTCTAACTTGATTCATGAGACAAGTAAGAAGGAAGAAATAACTAAAGAAAGAATGTTAGCAGTTCAGATTCAACAAAATAGTTATGTGAGCATTAAAAGTCACCTGATGAAATTTGAATTACGTGATCAACTATTATTGAATGTATCACCATGGAGCGAATTGATCTGTTTTAAAACGAAGAGAAGTTGAATCTACTATATATCGGATTGTTGAATGTGTTAGAGAGATTTAAGGAACAAGATTATTGTTTGGAGTTATTTCAAGAGCAAGATGTGATTCATAATAAATTTCATGTGTGGTATATTAGGAAATGGTTGGGTAATAAGGAGGGTTTATAAATATTAGAGGAAATTCAAATCGAGATTAAATGCGTAATTGAGGAACATTAAGAGATTGTGGAAAGAAAAGTAAAGATGCTAAGAATAAAGATGATTCACTTGATATAGTTAAATAGATAAACTCATTAGGACTTAACCTCACATCGGAGACTGAATTGGGGATGAAGAAAAGATAGATGTGCCTCTTTTTTATCCAACGATTTGGATGACAAAAACGTCATGAGGGGGGGGGGGGTAATTGTAACTTCGTGTTTTAGGGGTTAGTCCAAACTTTATTTAAGCAGATAGAAATAATTAATAAAAACAATTAGATAATAAATTTTAACAGTTTTAATCATATTATTGATAAATAAAAAAATAATATAAGAGTGTGAACTTTGAGTAAAAATGTAGATGAAGGAACCAAAACTATCAAATATTCATACTTGAAGGGTAACTTTGACTAAGTCTTGATCATATTGTCATGAATATGAATATATGGGACAAATTTGTTAAAATAATAAGTTTCATTAAAAAGAATTGGTCAAATAGTGTCTATTTTAGAAAATACAAAACATAAGGCTCAATTGTGAAATATATATTGATTGTATTTAGCCTAGTTAAGGACAATCCGTCCATTTAGGAAGAGAAACAAAACTTGGTGTAAGGAAATCTCCCATAGATGAATTATCATGCTTCAATGGTGATCTAAAGTGAACTTGTTAAAGAATAAGCTAGGGTTTGAAGATAAGAGTCCATCATAAAGATTAAAAGGTCGAAATTATTCTTTTTCTAGCTAAATCTTGATCTAAGGTTTAGATTTGACTCCAGATCCAAAAAGAGGTCTTCATATGATATCAATAGTCGAATATAGTGTTATTTCTTACATTTGAACTCTAAACCACATGGAATCTTTTAACATCCATGTTTCCAGGTATTTCATTTATGGCTTAAAAATAAAAAAAATAAAAAAAAATAAAAAAAAACTTGCAATTTCAGTCATTACGCGGGGTGTACCCTATAGGTACGCTGAGTGTAAATAATTCAGGAGGGATGTGGGTTCATCGAGTACGTCGAGCGTACATGATGAGTATGAAGGGTGTACTCATGCAGATTTTAATACTAAATTTTAGGTTCGAGCCCCTATTTAGAGGACCTTAAGTCCTCTAAGCCTCCCTTATCACTAACCCCTACCCCTAGAGCTTAAAGATCGAAACCCTAGTTCTGTAGAGCAATTTTTAAGCCTTTTTGGTGTGTTTTAGTGTATCTTGAAGAAGGAGAAGGTTGAGCTTGAGGAGTTGTTGAAGCCAAGTTTGTAGATCCAGAGTCTCTATTGCATTTCCCAGCTTCAAGAGGTATAAAGTTCGAATCTTGCTCATTTATATGATATATCTCATTAGATCCTTGTTTTTCTTAATCTTTTGTCCCATAACTTTGTGTCTTGTGAGAATAAGTTACTCCAGACCTTAGGGTGGCTAGTTTACGTTGTCTCAGAGGTTGTTTAGACATAAAAATGGATTCTTGGTTCTTCCATGCAAAGGATTTTGTTCATTAAGTGAGGTTAGAAAGTTAGGGTTTAACTTAGAGCTTCTTATGGCCATATAAGGGCATAAAGTCATCAAATTTATCATTCAAAATGTTCATTAGGACTAGATCTAAGCCCTTGATGACTTGCCTTTACGAATTAAGAGCTTAATATAGGAAGCACTTATCAACCTATTACTTGGGGCGTAATCTGAGCTACGCCCAACGCAGCTCATAAATGGCCCATCCTTCGTGAGTGAACACTATGCCCAACATAGAGATGGTAGTACGGAGCACTTAAATCCCTTGAATTGACTATTGAATTTTCTTGACCAGTTGACTTTTGGTCAATTCGGAAGGGCTGAGGACTTGGAAGGGAAAAATGGTCTTTTGCCCAAATAAGATCTTACTATGGTATTTGGACTTGCGTTCTTGGGGAATTTTCTTGATTACTAATTTAGGGTTGGTGTGGATATATTTAGTAGGAGAGACTTCAACACAAACAACCCGAGAGAGTGAGATATGTTCATTGGTCAGTTGAGGTGAGTCTCTCCACTGTACTTGTGGGTCGAAGGCAACAATGTCAGCCCACTTCATTATATTGTAGAATTATCTTCATGACATTTGCTGATATGTCTGTATGTGCTTGTTGTCTTTGTGACTCTTGCTAGTAATATTTTATGTTTAGCTGTAGGGGTGAAATAGACCCAGTACCGGTTGAAAGATACCGAAGGATTTGAAATAGACTCAGGGGGTGAAATAGACCCAGTACCAGTTGAAAGATACCGAAGGAGTTGAAATAGACTCAGGGGGTGAAAT